TAGAATGTTTGAACTAATAGAAGCGTCCACTGCTGGTTTCTCTCGGTTCTCATCAAGCGTTTTTGCGTCGTTCGCGCGCCGAGACGAGTGTTGAAATTTTCTATTATCATTGTTTGTAATATGCCATGCCTAATAATAAAGCTCATAAATCACGTTTTAACATTTGATAATTTTTTGTCATAAAATACTTTATTGTGGCTTATGTATAACAAATAGGTATTATTATGATTATCGTGGACTATTTTTAGACGGGATAAAGAACTAGCTATGTATTTGCACAATATTGTATTTACGTATCACTAGCCATTATGCCAGCGCACGTGGATAAATCCTTTCGAGAGCACTTTTCTTCTGACTTGCTAAACAAAAATAAGATTGATAATATTTATAATAGTAGAATTGCACAGTTTTGTATACAATTAAATAGTTTAATTCATAACAATTTGATATGCTTAAATTTTATAAATAGCTGACATACAAAATTTAACATAATATATAATTTTTACATTAGCGCCTGACAGTATCAGGCGACCTTCCATACAGGCCCGGATGTTCGGCACGTAATAAAAAAAAATGACCAGGCACTTGACGGGTTGACAAAAATCAATATTTAAGGCTAGCTGAGAGGTGTAGCCTAATGCTAGATAGCCTTTACTATTCCTCATAGATCTGACTATAATATACAAAAATATTTTTTTCAAATCGGACTGGTAGTTCTAGAGATAAGCATGTTTAAATAAACAAAAAAAGACTCCTGCTTTATGATATAATAGTATACTTTTTATAAAATAAGGGTGACAAACCAGCACACAGGGTCTCCGGTTCTCTACACTCACCATACGAAACACAGCAGCATGAAGCTGCTATTTTACGCTGGTACTCTGTGAGAGTGGGTTGAATGGGTCGGCTCGACCGATGTGTAGGACCACCCCGGTCGGGCCGACCCATTCGTGCTGCAACCACAATATAGCTGCAGCATGATTCCACCACGTAAAAGTAAAATAAGTATATAGTATAGATGTAGATATAAATGTGCTGCTCCATATAATTACTGTCAAGGGACTCTGCTCGTTTGTCACGATAATTATATTTAAAAAAAATAAGGTGGTTGAACAGTAAGCAATCTCCTTTCTAATAGGCAACGCACTCGCAATATCTCTCGTGTTGCTCAATAACAACGGTAGTCACTCACCATCAGGTGAGTCGCATACTCGTTTGACCTCTCTTCTATAAAAAGAGTAAACGCTTGGTTTGCTGGGTTAAACCCCAACTAAAATGAGACGTCACCACTAGCTTATGCAATTTCACATTACGATGTTACTTCCCATAGCCGGTCGGGGTATCCCATCGTCTGATGTAAATAGGAGAGCTATGCCAACATGAGATCTCATAATGAGATATTTCTGATTGTTTCCATAATCTCTTTAGACACGCATGGGATGAAATAAGGTGAGGTATTTTCTTGAACCGCTACTTCACGACAATATCTAATGTTATTTTTTAATGATTTAAATCGGAGCAAGCTTATGTAACTATCTAAGCACTTTTTACTGTCCAAATTTTATAGTTTTATTTATAATAAAACAATTTTTAATAAATAGCAAATTATCAACTAGGTAAATCCTACCACCTAGTAAGAAAAAACAACATAATACTGCGAGTCCGTATGGTGTCACTGAAAACTTGGCATTTCATCTTACGAGTACATCACATCTTAATTCTCAGCATTTTAATTCTAACTAAGAATAGATGTAATTCTCAATGGGCCACAGTACACTGTTGGGACTGTGTATTAGTTTGTCACACCTACTTTTATAATGGGTTATTAAGTGAAGACCGTGTTGAAGCGAAAGAAATACGGAACGCGCCCAGGTTAGGTGAAGTTTTTTATTTATTTATTTATTTTCAGTTCTGAGTACATAATATATAAAATCACAATATGCCAAACTGTGAATACAGTTTGTCGGCAGCAGCTCTCGTGAATGACACATGTTTATGTACTACTTATATAAATTTATATACTTATATAGCACAAAAAGAAAAAAGAAAATAAAATCATAATAAACAAAACTTATTAACTACGTAAAGAGCATAAAAGAAAAATGTAAAAAGAAGTTGAATAATAGTGATTTTTTTAACCTGTATACATTTACAACTATGGACATAGAGACAAATAATGCTTTCTCAAAGTATTTTTTTAAGTTATTTTTACCCTTTATGTTCTTCATTAAATCACGAGGTAGTAGTTTAATAAGTACGGGCGTTATCCATCGTCTTTCACGTTTTCCATAATAATTTTTGACATTTGGAACATGCAGCTTAGGTGTTCTAGCTAGTCGCGTTGGGTATGTAAACTCCCTTTCCTGTTTATATTCAATATTGTTATATTGTTCAATTAAGAGACTTTTAATTCTACAGGCAGTATACCACATATTTTAAAGAGTTTATTATAGTCTTTAAAAATTGTTTTTATGGCTTTTTTATCTACTAACAATTTTAAAATTCTCATTTGCAAGTATTTAATTTTATTTAGGTGAACAGAAAAAGTGAGACCATACGCGCTCAACCCATAAGATATTACTGCATCAACCAATGGGTAATAAAGCACGTACATGATTTTTCTGGGTATTATTAACGTTAAATTATGTAACTTACAGTAAATTGATCTTAATTTGTTACATACTGAATCTCCATGAATATTTCATGCAAAATGACTATCTACGTTTACTCCTAAATATTTATAGGACGACACAGTTTGGAGGGTAGGACATTTACAATGAGATTTATTTCGATGCAAGCAGTCGTTTGTATGTCCTATTATATTTATGGATATAACTATATTTTTAATGTAGAGAGATAGAATAGACATACATTTTGTTTTATCCATATTGATTACTATCCCATTGTCATTGGCCCAAAAAACTAGATTGTCGAAGTCGTTTTGCATTACATTCTGTATTGCGTTTTGGTTCGTATCGCTATATATAATGCATGTATCGTCAGCGTACATATGCGTTCTACATTTTTTATAACATTAGGCATACTATTTACATGCATTATGTATCCAACTGGACCATAGACCGAGCCAGTCGGAACACCAAGTTTAGTATATCCAGTCTTGCTTTCAGTTCCACATATACGTACTTTCAACTGTCTATTATTTAAATATTCCCTTAACCATGCGTTAATTGGCCCTCTTATGCCGCACTCCTGCATGGACTGCAGCAAGCCATCGTGATCAAGGGTATCGATAGCTTTTTTAAAGTCGATGAATAAAGCAAATACAATTTTTTGTTAATTTAACAAGCTATTTATATCACCAGTAAATTTAGACAGAACTGTAGCTGTACTTCTATTTGGGCGAAAACCGTGCTGAGCGTCGTTGATAATTTCATTATTTTCTAGAAAGGCTGTAATTTGACCCACTATTATTTTTTCTACTATTTTATTTAATGTATTTAAAATTGCAATCGGCCTATAATTTGTAAATTCCGTATGAAGACCTTGTTTATATATTGGCCTAATAGCTAACTTCAACTTCTCGGGGTAAACAACCTTTTTTATGCTTATATTTATAAAATGTGCAATAACTGGGGCAATTTTATTCTTAATTTCTTTTAGATCCCTTATTCGAATACCATCCGATCCCGGCGCCTTATTACAGTCCATGTTGTCAATCACTTTTATTACATGCTCAGGTAGTACTTTCATACACCTAAAACTAACATCACTTTCAGATACATACGATTTCCGTTCAAGTAACAAATTCTTACAAATATGCTTGTTTTTAATGTTCTCTATCTCCCGGGTAAAAGTATTACAAAAGCCGTCACAGACATTTGATTTATTTTTTGTTTTTAACATGTACTTTTCGATGACACTATCCACAGATAATTTATTTCGCCCTAACCAAGAATTTACAGTACTCCATATCTTTTTCATATCCGCTTTAAAATCTATTAGGCTCTTCTTTCTATAATTGTTCCTAGCTCTATTAATAAGTTTGTTTGTATAATTTCTCTGCCTAGTGTACTCAAGTCTACAATAATTATTTTTTGCATGGGATTTTCATTTCATAAAAAGAGAATCCCTTTTTATTTAAATTAAGATCAGTGCAAAATTGTTCTTAGTAACCGGTAATTTTGTGTAGATGCAATCAACCTTATCTGAGTTCTACCCACTATATACTAATCCCAAGATCGAGTTAAGGGGTGCTATCCAACAGGCAACGACGTGTCTAACGAATGCAATGACGTGGATTATTATATTGATAATATGTTACATTTTAATTTAAGTACCAAAGAACTAGATGGGCAGGCAGACTTTGTTCTTCCCTTTTACGCGGTATGTTTCACTCCAAACTCCCTCCGGACAATGTAAATACAAAAGGAACACTAGATTAATTTATCAGCTCTAGATTTTTTTTTTGGTACTTAACCGACATTTATTGTAAATATGAGTAATTTTGGTCCATGGATACAGAATGTAATGAATTTAATAATCGGATCCTAGCATAGCTACGAACCATCGTCTCATCAAAAAAATATGTTATCTAAATATTGCCTCAATCGGTCAAGTTTTCAAGAATTTTCAGGATCACTAACAGATGCATCGAAGTATATATTACATATAATGACTAATATATTTATAATATTACAAACATATCGAAGTAATTCCTCTCTATGCACCTCTATGTTAGATTTTACCCAAATCCTATCAAGTGTTTAAGCTTGATTGTGTGACAACAACACTTCAAAACAAACAAACCTTCACATTTACTACAATAAATTAATGAATAAAGAATGTCGCATATAAACAAAGTGGTAGCATTATCACAAGTGTTGAGCAATAAAAGAAAGAATATTAAGACTCGTATATTGTGATAAGGAATATCTTTAAATAGTATGTTTACTTAGAATTGCTTTAGTGGTAATTGATAGGTTAATTTGCTTGTTATTTTCTAATTGAAAATGAATTCTATATGTATTTCATTTCCCTTTATGTTGTTTACAATTTTTACAAATTCTGTGACGGCCAAAGAAAGTAAGTAATGGTTACATGAATTACACAATATTTTTATTTAAATATACTCGGTTATAATCTATACAGTCTCTACAAGATTACACCAAAATGTTTTGTTACTTATCATGTGTATTTATTTTAGATTTTATTCCTCTTTTTTAATTGCCACATCTACGTCAAACTCTCACCACTATATGGGTTGATTGTTAGAAAATGCTTTTAGGCATTAGGCCTGCCCTTTTAATTTTTTTATATGTGACCATAATAAAGACTTTAAATAAATAAGTAAATACATTTAGGTGAAATAGAAGCTTATGTCTTTAATATTAAAATAACTGCCTTTTATCGAGCTCAGGGTTCATTTTCATGCCATTAAGACACATGTTTTTTAACATATTATATAATACTAACTTGCCAGGCAGACTTTGTTCCGCCCTTTTCGAACACTTTTGTTATGTCCTATCAAATATCCTTATATTCGCAAAAAAACTCATGGGCAAAAAAAACTATCCTATCTCTCAAGTTGGACCAAACTGCACACTGTGTGCAAATTTGATTAAAATCGGTTAAGTAGTTTAGGAGTCCATCGCGGACAAACAACATGACACGTAATTTATATGTATTAAGATATATAACATAGTTAATTTCTTTAAAACTTTTGTATGTCTTTTTGTCCGTATGTCCGGGATAATTTTCGTAATGGCTGCAACGGTTATAATGAAACTTCACTGACAAATATAGTGCAATGGCATAAGTAATATATGCTGTTTTATTCCAAAATTAAATAAACATTACATAACTAAACATTAAATAAACTAATTTAAATTTATTATTCTATCGGTATTATTTTGATTATATTTCGTTAAGAGTGTGCTCATATCATTTTATTAATTTCTTTTTTTCCTTTCCACCATCGGACTACTAAGTGGACAGCGGGTCTTCGCCTCTTTGTTAAGACATTCGACGTTTTTGATCCCGTATTAGCTATTAATCCCGTATTTATTAACCCTTACATCATAGCGAACATTCGTTAAAGACGCGTAAGCTTTATACTGAGCACGGATTAGGATCAATTAGTGTCTGTGAGTTACTAGTAGCACTACAATAACTCTTGCGCACTTAAAAGCCATGGAATGTATGACAGCTCATCAGCACGGTCATTGCACTCCAACAGCGTAAATTTATATTTTGTTGATTGACTAAATAATAAAAATCTGTGGTTACCAAGCCGCCTGCCAAGCGTGGCAACTATGGCAAAATCACCCCTACTATGAGGCAATCTTTAAAGCTTAAGTTCAGCAAGGAACTTTTATAGGCTGTAATGGATTTGATTGATGGATGCTTTATTAAACCAAAATTAATGTCAGTAAAACAGGGTTATGCACTTGTCTCCATTGACTACAATAGTCAGCTACTATTAAGTGGTTAGTCAGACAGTTTGTCACTCTATGAACAATCCTTAATTTTTTTTTTAGAATCGGTAATATGCTACTATGGTTCATGGGCTACGTATCGCAGTGCTTTTGGAAAGTTCGATGTGGATCATATAGATACAAATTTATGCACACACTTAGTGTACTCTTTCGTTGGAATCAACACGGAGGGTACTGTGAAATCCCTGGATCCTTACCTAGATCTACCTGATAACTGGGGTCGCAGTAAGTGAATTACATTTAAATGGATAATTGATTTTTTGAATTTTTAAAAATATTTATAATCATTTTTATTTACTTATGTCTCTTTTTCACAATTTGCTTTTATCACAATTTTCTCCTTTGTTTTTACATAGATATAACATTTATAATTATATAAAAGAAGTCTGTAGGCTACAACTAAAAACTTTAAAATTTTAATCATTGCAATTTCCTAAATATAAGGAATCATCACGTTAATTCTGTTTGCATTTTAAGGTGTTATATACTTTCAAATTATTGTTCTATGGTATAGAATTACAATTTGTGTAAAAAAGAATTAACAAACGTGACTTGTTGATATCTTATAAAACAAATATATCGCTGCGCCTGGCAAGTTCCATATGTAATATTTGTAAGGTTTTGGGAAGTAACAAAAAACGTGTTATTGAATAAATTAACGAAAACACTGCTTAATTATTAATGCAATATTATATTTATTTGAGATATAATAAAAATACACAAATATTAGTTATTTATAGAGCTAGATTTTTTTAACCTAAAAGTACACATATCCGGTCTAGAAACGTCTAAAACAATGACGTATATGTTATTGGACTTGAAGGAATTGGCAATGTGACTTTTTGTTATTAGGTTTATCATTATGTAGCCTTTAGGTTTTGTTAGCTTACAAAATATAATAAAATCATTAGAAACAACTAGAAAAATAAGATAATCATACATTATATAGGTAAAACAAAAATATATAGATAGATATAGAATAGTGACTTGGTACTTTATATACTAAGTTCAAATATTCTTAGACAGAATTTGATTTAATAAATCTAAACAGAGTTTGATTCTGGAAAGGCTACGAAAAGACGCTGCTAATATGGACTGGAGTATTATAACAAAGGCTTGGACTGCTGAAGAACAGGTGGTATTATTTAATTTACTTCTTGTTCAAGTCTATGATGCACGTACTCTAGTTCGTCCAGTTTGGGTACGTCATAGATCAGTCCCGTGGTTGACTGAAGTTCTTGATAGGCAGGAAGAATGACGCAGTCAATCTTCCGATCAGACAGGATCAGACTATCCGATCCAAGGAGTGACTGTATTCGAGATAAGTACAGTTCCTTCTGCGGAATAGGTAGAACAAGATGTATGGAGATTTACGACATTAACACATCCACAAATCAGTGCAAAACGAAGATCTATGTCGTGTTTGAAACTTCATAAGATCCATAGGACTTTTGGAAAACACTCGGGTCTGTACTAAATAACGTCAATTTAATTTTTGTTTAATCAGCAGTAGCAATTAGTAAATAGTAAAGACAATGTACTTTTTGCCTTATAAATTTCCAACTAAAAGCCTGTATTTAAAATCTAACTTTAAAAAAATTGTATATTTTACACACGATATTAAAAAAGCATAAAGGTTTGCTTTTTAACCCAAATATTTTGAATAATGATCTGTTCATTAATGTTCATTAATGTAACCATCATTTGCAACTCGGCCGCCGACGACGCAAGTATAACTTGATCATCGGCGTACAAAAGGCATTTGACGGTTAACTCACCCATTCTTAATCCGCATTCTTCAACTTTCAAATTTTGCAAACAACTGTCCATAAATAGGTTGAACAGCCACGGGGAAGCTACACAGCCCTGTCTGACACCTTTATGGATGTCAAACCAGTCCGAGTAGACCCCGTTGATCCTAACACAAGCACTAGAGTCCCTATATTGGGACTAGAATGCCCGTATCAAGCCAGCGCTCAACCCAAATTAGTTCAGTGTTTGCCATAGCACATCCCTATTCACTCTGTCATAGGCCTTTTCCAAGTCCATGAACGCACAAAAAACCTTTTGGTTTTTGGCCAAAAACTTCTCCGCGATCATGCGCATGGAAAAGACTTGATCTGTACATCCCATTCCCTTTCTAAATCCTGCTTGCACATCCCAAATTTTTCCATCAGTTTCTTTCATGACCCTTTCAATCAGTACCTTAGCATACAGTTTTCCCACAATGCTAAGAAGGCTGATGCCACGGTAGTTTTTACAGTCCTGCTGCGACCCTTTTCCCTTATATACTGGGACTATCACGGCTTTGCACCAGTCTACCGGTACCCGCTTCAGTTCCCAGCATAAATTAAACAAGGTGTGCAGCAGGCCTGCCACCACTTCCTCTCCAGCCCTTAGCATTTCGAGTGAAACTCTATCATATCCGGCAGCCTTACCTGCTTTCATGCTTTTCATTGCTTTCATTATTTCACCTACACTAATCTCGCTACATCTTTCCTCTTCTTTCGGAATTTCTACTTCACTTAGTACACACGTTGTCTCCTCACTCATAAACACACTTTCAAAATATTCCTTCCATCTCTTTAAACTCAAAACTTCATCATTCAGAATATAGCCATTCTCGTCTCTTATAGCATTCATCATAGGCTGTTTTGAATGTCCCCTGGCAGTTCTTACAAGTTTCCAGAACATTTTAATATTTGCCTGGAAATTATCCGATATTCTTCTATCATTCTTATCCGTTCTTTCTTGCTTTTTTCTTTCAACTACTTCTTTTACTCTCTTATTAAGATGTCTAAAGACTGCCTTTTTTCTTTCAATATCATCATTCGTACCGCTAGAATTACCAGCCTTTGTTGCTAGTAAATCTAGCCATGCTCTCTTCTTTGCTTCAACTTCCATACGTACCTCATCATCCCACCATAACGTATTATTTTGCCTTTCATTCTTTCTCTTACTAACACCACATACTTCGGTAGCTGCATCCACTAAACCTTTCTTTACATTTTGCCATACATTCTCCAAGTCTAACTCCTTCATACATAATTCATCCAAACCACTTATATTTTCTTTCAGTCTACATTTGAACTTCTTTTTCTCACCTTCATCTTGTAACCTTTCTGTTCTAATACGCTGTAACGCAGTGGTAGACACAGATGACCGATGGCGCCAACGCCTGAATAGACCATTAATTCGGCATAGAACCAAATAATGATCCGTTCCTACGTTAGAACCCCGGTAAACCCTTGTATCTACAACTGCGCCCCTCAATCTTTCATCCACAATTATTAAATCTATCATGCTTCTATCGTCACCTCTTTCCCAAGTATACATGTGAATCCTCTTGTGGCGAAAGCAAGTGTTCGTCACAAAAAGATTCTTTTCCATACATACGGTGAGGAGACTTTCACCATTCTCATTTATACTTTCACAATGCTGTGTTGGTCCCTACTTTAACATATGGTAGTGAAAGTTGGGTGTGGCAGAAGAAGCACGAGAGTAGAATGAACGCAGTAGAAATGCGGTCGTTAAGGAGTATGTTAGGGCTGAATCTTAATGACAGGGTAAGAAATTGTGTAATAGGAGAAGAGTGTGGTTTGCAAGATGATGTTGTGACCAGGATTAAGAAAGGAATGCTTCGGTGGTTTGGTCATGTGGAAAGAATGAATGAGGAAAGAGTGACAAAGAAAATTTATGTTGCAGAAGTGAATGGCAGAGTCGGAAAGGGACGTCCTAGGCGAAAATTTATCGACCAAATTGGCGATTTATTGAAAACGGGCCAAATTAGGAGTACCCTTAACCGACGAGCATGTATGCGGAGGTGTATGGATGTGAAGGAGGCGAGAGAGGTGTGTCAGGATCGTGCCAAATGGAAGTCTGTAGTCTCTGCCTACCCCTCTGGGTGACAGGCGTGAGTGTTTATGTTATGTTTGTTTTTATGTATTTTGAATAAAAGAAGAAAAGGCATTGTATATGTAACTTATTTTGTGTTAAAACAGTAAAAAATCATACAAACACATTTATTTTTGAATAATTTGAAACTGTTTTTTGTGTATAGCTATGGAAGAGCGGGGGTCTCTGACACAAGTACCTTAAGCTACTTAAAAGATACCCTATGCAAATTTTAAAATATCAAATGCAATAAAAGATTATTATTATTATCAATAATAATAAATAAAAACTTAACTAAATCTAATTCTTAAAACAAATACCTCATCTAAAAAAGCTAATATTACTTAAAAGAAACGAGTCTTGAGCAATTATTTTCAAGATGGAGTTGGAGCTAGCCCGCATCCTGCCGTACAAGATGCCTGATGCACTGCAAAATTGGGATAGCCCCAACAAGATCCTCAAAGCATTTTTGAACTGGACACGTACGGCCTCGATATTTAGCTGTGAATAATTCGACCACAGGCTGCAAGTGTAGAAAACTTGACATTAGTATTGTAATTGGTTGTAAATTCTTTACAGCATATGCTTCACCCCAGAAACTTCAATACTTTTACCTATTTCCACTAAAATTGTGCTTGCACATACTTTACTACTGCTAATCATGGACTATGTTGACATTTGTTACCTTTATATAACCCAGGAGAAACTTAACAAACTTGTGTGACTCCACAGTCTCTGTATACGGTTCATATTTGAGGTTCGTGAGTTATCGGTCAGCGGCGGCAGTCTAAGTGACTTAGCGGTCAGCCGCCGTAGAGTCAACATCACCTGAAGATGCCTCGTGTAGAGGCTAAACACGTGTCGTATTATCGTATTGTCGTATTATAGTCGATGGTGTATCTTTCCTAAAATAGTGGTGTTGGGAGTAGTGGCGTTGGGAGTAGTGTTGCTGGGATTGATGGTGACGGGATTAGTGCATGCAATTGAGGGATGATGGAAGGTGCTCTTCAAACTACGGAAGACACATCGTTGTATTTAATTTAGCGGATAGTTGCAAAATATTTACTATTAATATCTTTATTATAATGGATTTCCGCAAAGTAACGCCTGATTCTATCAATTTTTTTATATTAAAAGATGTTCTTTTATAATTTTGCCCAATCCTTCAAAGCCATTTTTCATAAATACCGGCAAATCAATATTTTCAATAGTTATTATTGCCCTTTTTCGAATTTGAACATTATGAATAAATTATTCTATTAATTCACGCGCTTACCACGACATTAATACACTATATAGTATGCATTCTTGCATATTTTAATCATCAACATGCCCTTAGCTAACGATATTTTGTGTGTTTTCCGAATATTTTGTTTATGTTCACCGATTTCCAAAAACGGCTGGACTGATTTAAGTATTTTTTTTTTTTATTAAATAGACTATACTTCTGGGGTTGGTCTATGTTATTTTAAAAATAATTCATTCTCAATCAAAAATCCAATAATGAAAAAATAGGTGATGAAGATTTTAATGTAACTGTTCAGACGACATACTAGTTGTTACGTCGAACTTGTAATTTTTGGATCTCTAGAACATAAAAAGTGTAAAATAATTAGCATATTGTATCAACAAGGATTAGTCTTGATATTAGAAGCTATTAAGTGAAAATCATTTTATTTTTGTTAGCTTTAAAGTTGGTTTGCATTTTTATTAAAAGTGTAATAATTGCATTCTTATTTCGTTTCATACTACTAATATACTGTATATACAGTTTCAACTAATAATATACCAGTCACCTTGATTTCTGTTTTTTTTATGTATATAATATTATTAATATTAATGTAAGATATATTGATATCAAGAAAAAAATATCTTACAGACAATTTTGGAAAATTCAACTCTTTAAAAATTGGCAAACCCAATTTAAAAACGATTTTAGCTGTTGGAGGATGGAATGAAGGTTCACAAAAGTTTTCTAGAGTAAGTCTACTTTTTTTCCAATATTTCTTGTCATATTATCTTTATATATAGAATTGTGGTATGTTCGCAATCCTAAACCGCTTAACCGATTTTGATTTCTACAACAAAGGGCTACTTATGTGGTCACCTAGATAATTCTTTGCTATACTTGGGTCGGGTGTTCTCCCCGACCTATTAGAGTAAATGCATTGTCACCTTTGAGGACTAAGATAAAATGTCTCGTTACCAACAAAAGGCTCTCCGATATTCTATGACTACCATACGATACACATCATTAAGCTGCTACTTGACTTACTGGTATTCAGTAAAAACGTAATCCTAATCGGGCTACAACAATAATTTAAAGAAAGAGTAGTTCTACCACGTCATAGTTGAGATTAATTCTTCTTTTATCATATCATTTTAATTATCTTTAAGCAGAAATCTTTCCTTTAAATATTCACACCCTGCTTCTTTCATATTTCTATTTGTCTTTAGAATTTTTTTTCAAGGTGCAATGTTTATGACGTACCAAATCATCGACGCCAGCGCCTACTCTGATGAAAGCACATTTCCAAAAAAAAAATCGCATCCGCATGTATTACTAGCCAATTAACCTTTGTTTCCAATCCTTACACTTTGAATTTACAAGGATGGTAATAATAATTACTGCAATTGTTCTGATGCATAATCTTAAACAAAAAACACGCGCCAGTTACAATATAGAGAAAATTCAAATTTCGAACTCATTTTTCCATAATTTTAATGTCTTCACATCTCGCCTTATAAACAAATTTTGTGAAATTTTAGTTGTATTTTAAAAATGATTAAAAAAAACTTCTAACTAATGTTTTGGCCAATACAGATGGCAGCGAATCCAACATTACGCAAAAACTTCATATCAAGTGCCATAAAAATGATATTGGACTATGGATTTGATGGTTTGAATATAGACTGGGAGTATCCTAATCGTCGGGATTCTGTGCATGGTCCAGCAGATATACAAAACTTCGTTCAACTTTTGAAAGAACTCAGGCAAGAATTCAATAAGCATGGGCTTACTTTGAGTGCAGCAGTAGCTTCTGTAAAGAAGATGGCAATACAGTCATATGATATACCAGGTATTAGTAAGTAAGTACACTATCCTATACGTTATATTGTCAACCTATAATTCCTTACTGGATCGATTTCTATTTAGAAAATTATTTTAGAAAAAGATTGTATTTAATCCTAAATGCATGCTTGTAGATATTTAGATGCAGTATCTCTAATGACATATGATCTACACGGACCCTGGGATCCGGTCACGGGACACAACTCACCACTTCACAAAGGCGAAGGAGACGGTAACATTCCGAAAGAAGACTTGTACACTGTTGATGTTGCTTTAGAATATTGGATAAAAAGCGGTAATTTTATAATTTGTTTAATTCCAATATCCACTGCTTCTATCGACCCGTGTGTATCATAAAGAGCGACATAAGGATACTAAAAGAGGAGACGGTCGGCGGTATTTTCATGACAACCATTCTGAATAATAAAAACATTGCAGTTGTCAAAGCATGGTGACTATGGCCACATGGACTTTCATAGGATGTAACGGAATGGTATGATATTTATATTTATAAGGTTAAGGTAAACTATATATCCGATTGACTTGAAATTTAGTATAGTTACTCATTTTGCAATGTAGACGCTTACTAAGATTTTTACGATAGTTCCATTGAATTAAATGTTTTTGATATTTTATTTCTAGATTCTGCACTAAATATTATCGTGCGCCCAGCAATGAGCGGGATCACGTAGTAGACTTATAACTTAAAGGCAGATAGAAACAAATCGGGAGATGGGCAACAGCGTCTTCTTTATCTTTATATATATAATTATTTTGTCCGTGTGTATGTGACTGAACTCCTCGACAGCTTTACCGATTTTGATTAAATTTTGTGATTAACTTCATTCAAAAACAGTTTAGATTCACAATTAGTCCCGGTATGTGGCGCTGTTGTGGAGATCTAGAAATTACTCGTACGAAGACGAGACGAATCGCTTGTAATAATAATAATAATGTCCTCCAAACCGAATTCCGGTCACGGCGGTGTGCCTCAACGGAGGCTAGCCATCGGCGCAGGACAGGATTATAGTGCCCAAGTGTATGCACAGGTGCACTCTCTATTCCCTCACTCTCATAATCCGATGGGATGGTATAAACCGACACGACCAGAGAGAAATCAGGCACAGGACCAACGGCTTTACGTGCTTTCCGAGGCATGGGGGTGAGACACCGCCAACTTCCTGACTCCGGGCAACTACTGACAATTTCTTGACGGAAAAAACTGAATAATTAGTTTTTAGGCCCGACCCGGGACTCGAACCCAGGACCTCATGATCAGCAGTTGCACTACTACAAACACTAGACCAACGAGGCAATAACTGTAAAAATAAAGAAACTTGTCAACCTGCCTGCTAAGCAAAGCAACCATAACAAAAAGCCACTTTATGGGTCAATCTACGGAAAGGCCTATGTTCAGCATGGACTTTAATAGGCTAGAATAATGATAATGATAATATAAAATGTAATAAGGGCTACTGAGTAATAATTTAGTACGTCTTAAGCGTAGCTATTACCCTTAACGGAAATCCCATAAAAATCCAGCTAATAGATTTTAATGGACTAGTGAATAAGAAAAAGGAATAAAGGTGTTTATAGTAAGCACCTCGAACACATAAAATCAGATAACCAAAAGTGCAATAAACAATATACCACAATATCTTTACATAAATATGTACGTGCTTTAACTAATTGGTTTATTTTTAGGATGCCCACCTGAAAAAATACGGCTAGGTTTGCCTCTATATGGACATACGTTCACTTTAACTAATGCAAAGGTGAATAGAGTACATGCTCCTTCGAGCGGTCCAGGATTAGCCGGTCCTTACACAGCCACGAAGGGTATTATCGGATACAACGAGGTATTTTTTCTTTTTTATATAACTCTGGAAAGCTCATGTAATTTATCAGGAAAAAGTAGTAAATAATATCCTCCAGGTGGAATTTCGGTCATTACGGTCTCTATGGAGACTAGCCATCTGCGTAAGACAGGATTATAGTGCACGAGTGTGTTGCGCACACAGTACAGGTGCACTCTATTGTTTCACTCGCATAGCTCAAGGTGATTATTTTTTATTTTATTTTTTATTTATTTATTTCTGATACTTACAACTACTATTAAAGGATTACCTAATGCGATAGTGTAGCTGTCTAACTGATTTGTGTAGATCATTTAATTTTTATAACAAAATTACAAACAGTGCTGTCTTTGTGAATTCACTCAGAGTACAACAAAATAGGTCCGTCTCACAAGCTATTAAGTTGAGCGTGCGTAGTGCACGCGTCAGAGGTGCCTCACTCAGAATGTTGGTCCGACCTCGGGGCTCAACCAACAGTCGCGGCTGCCGTCGGCGCCACACGTACCTTTCAGGAACACATAGATTAAGCTGCCCTAATATTTCAGCATTAAACAATTTTCCTCGCAGTATTTTAAAAATATACGAGGTGAGCGCGAGTTCCCTTCTAACCCTCAGTTCATTATATCCTACCATACCTAATATAAATAAAGTTGGATGCATTAAAGGATAAATTGGGTAGACACCATAATAACGCATATATAAATATCTAATGAATTTATTTTGTACTTGCTCTAGCATGTTACTATACTTAGTTTCATGCGGAGCCCAGATGACTGCATTACATTCGAGTTGACTCCTTACCAATGCATTATATAAGGCGATAATTTATGTTTGTGAATCCTCTCACTGTACGAAGCATAAATCCTAGATTTCTATAAGCTTTTTTACAGATGCTCATGATGTGATCATAAAAAGTAAGCTTTGTGTTAAAAGTTACTCCTAAATCCTTAACTTCTCTGACCCTCGTCATCAACAGCCCGTCAATGTGATAATTATGTAAAATAGGAGTGTTTGCGCGAGAAAAAGTAATTAACACACACTTAGAGCTATAAAATTGCAAGAGATTGTCTTTGCTCCAACTCACAACCCTGTCTACGTCCCTTTGTAGTCTGGCACAGTCATCCCCATTTTTTACCGCAAGAGACAATTTGAGGTCGTCAGCAAACAATAAACACTTAGCGTCCTTCACCACTTCTGGTAGATCGTTTATCATCAGCAAGAACTCCAAAGGGCCAAGGTTACTGCCCTGACTTACCCCGGACCATGTGAAATGTGATAATCCGACACAACCGGAGAGAGATAAGGTGTAGTACTAACAGCTTTTCGAGGCACGTGAGTGTAGCGTTAACTTGCTGTTTTGCAGAAAATTGTTGATAGAAAACTCAATAACCGATTTGGCCCGATCGAGGATTTCAACCCGCGACCGCATAATCAGCAGTCAGGCCACTAAACTAAAGAAGCAGTCAAGAAAGGTTGAATGTAGTTACAATAACTTAAACAATAAAAATATTTTTGCCTTTTCCAGGAACTTTACAAAAACGAACTGCTCAGAAATGGAGCAATTATTTTAAACCATGAAAATGTGTAACGTACCCAAAACCAGTATCAAAGCAGCCAAACTCATAGTTAGGCTACCCAGAGACGATAGAGATTTATATTTCTCAAAACAAGGGACGTAGCTCCATCATTCATAATATATACCCCATAACTTGCAATTTCAACTAAAGTTGAAATTGCAAGTTATGGGGTTGGAGGTGGGGTGGGAAATGTTATGGGGGTTGGGATTAAAATCAGCTTTTAAAGGATTGACGGAAGTCAAACATTTTTAAATATATAAATCAAGAATAAAAATTAAACTTATGATATATATAGAGTTCTATATACCACGGGCAGTTAAAGGAAATTATGTATACCTTTGCAAAAAAATACCATGGCATTTCTCACTTTTAATTCATAATAAATGACAATTGTTCACTCTTTTGAATTTTTCAGTTTTGCAGCAAAATTCTGAAAGAGTCTTGGGATATTCGTAGAGATAACATGGCTATGGTTCCATATGCTGTACAAGGACAAAACTGGGTTTCTTATGATGATGCCAGCTCTTTAAAAACGAAAGTTGAATATGGCATGAAGCATAACATTTCTGGGATTATGGTTTGGAGTATAGAAACTGATGATTTTCATGGTCTTTGTGGCAACGAAAAGTATCCACTATTGCGATCTATTAATAGAGCTTTAGGAAATCTTAATAACACTATAGCAAATTCTACAGCTATTCCTACTACATCTACAACTTCTACGACTACAATAGCAACGACATGGGCAACAACAGCGAGTAAGTTAACCATTTATAACAAATTTTAAATTATCATTATACATACATATGAATATGATACCGTCGTAGCTCAAATGGTTAACGCTCGCTGTAAATTTCACAGTATGCGAGCAAACCAGATTCAGTCCCCGCCGGCACCAATGAAATTGTAAATTGCATTAAGTGCTGATTTACCACATGCTCGGCGGTGAAGGAAAACATCGTGAGGAAATCTGCATGTCTGAGATAAAAGATAAAAAAAATATTTCGAAGACATGTGAATTTCACCAACACGTATTGAGGCACCGCGGCGGACACTTCCTTGCCCTAAGACCCTCTCAGAAATGAGAAGAGGCCTGTGCCCAGCAGTGGGACGTATATAGGCTGTGACTTTTAACTTTAAATGAATATGTTTGAATCCAAACATATAAATATTAAATTGAAGTTTTATCTGCAATATTTTTGGATTATTTGCACGCCATTAGGACATGACTAACATTTTTTTTAATTCTCTGTCTGGAATAATCTTTGGAATATCTGAACTGTTCGTGATGAAACTTCAGGATCAGATAGAGAGCAATACCTAGCTTAATGTAGTGATCTAGACTGTATTTTATCCAAAACCTTAGTTTTTTTTTAATATAATGATAGTGACAAACGAGCACGCAATTTACTTGATAGTAAGTGGATCCTGTGGCCCGTAAACATCTACATTTATCCTCGATCATATAAGATCAGATAAGAATCAAAACACAGATGCGTTTGCACCCATGAGGACTAAGATGGAATGCCTCGTTTCCAGTAAAAGAAGGGTTGCCACTCACCACACAAAACACTCAGTTTTAAGCTGCTATTTTACGCTGGGGTTCTGTGTTTTTGTTGAAGAAATGAAAACTTGATAGAACAAATGTCGTTGGTCATCATAAATCTAAAGCTACATCAATAGATCGTACCCAGACAAAGTCGGGGCGGGTAGCAAGAATATTTAAACTAACTCTTTTTATCTTTACTCTATGTCTTCTTTGTGTGAGCAAACAGAAAGTACTTTATATATTTCGTAGCATAATTAGATAAACCGTATTTCTGGAAAAAATCTAAGAATATCGCGAAAACACGCATAACTAGACAATGGCTATGACATTTCTCAATATGACTGATACTTAATCCTGATTGGCTTTATTTTGGTTTATTAGCGATTAATGATTTTTTTTTTGTAAAATGATAACGTCACTTTTTAATATTATAATATTAAAAAGTGGAATATTGACCCAAAGTTACTTTTGTAACAGCTTCGGCGCTGCGGGAAGTGCAGCCCCTTCGTACTTGCGAGGCAAACCGCAGTCACCCATGCTCAACTCCGTAGCTGCGGCTTATTGTATTATTGCATTTAATGTTTTATTGACTTCATATTTGTAATTATCTTGCTTATCACATTTTATCATTACTATGCTATCACCTGCAAAAAGCACCATTGGCTGTCCGGCATATCCAGGGAGATCATTTATGTATACCAGAAATGATTCTTAAAAGAAGTTTGAAGTAGAGTTAGTAATTTTTCCGATACATTACCATCCATTCCATTAATAACACAAGGTCTTTGTCCGTAAAGACTTGTAGGACGGAACAGTGTACTTTCTTTTTAGTTATTACCTAGCGACCCGTCCTGATTTCTACTGGATAGGATAGGATGTTTAGATATAAGATAGTTAAAGGCTATTTTTTTTAAATATCAAAGTTTAAAAAATATAGCCTTGATCGCTTCTGACGTGTCTCTATCGGTTTGTAAAGTTTCATTATAATTGATTCAACCATTCTGAAGATTAGCGCTGACAGACAGACGGATAAAATTTTAAAATGGGTTATTCTTATCTTAATGGTATGCACATATCCCCTGAGTTTAATAGAAATCATTTTTTAACTGGCTTTACGGCTCTGGGTACTAGCCCTTCTGAGATGATCATTTCTGACAGAATCTTCATGTTATATATTTTTTCTTCACAATATGCTGATGCGTCACATTGGTTTTTGGAGATTTTGACGACAGCTCAACCCAGCGGACTGTTGATGACGACAGCCGCTCAAGTTCATAAGGCGCCCAAGTGATCAAATTAACTTGATAGTTAGTCGAAGTTTATATCAACATCAAAGCACTTTTTTCGTCGTTTTCTCTAAAAGTTCACAGACCCTTAATTCACAAAATCACATCACTTTTACAAATTAAAATCAACTTCAAACCATTATTCAAGCGACAAAAGAGCGACAGTCCGTCGTCGGCCAAGTTCCCGCCAAAACTCCTAATAGAAATCAGTTATTTGAATATTACAGACAAACACATTAATTTTATTTATTAATAGGCATAGATAATAATATCGTAACCATCAATTGTGCTGTTTGGAATTTGATGTTATTTATATCGTATCAATGTATTTATTATATTTTCAGCGATTAGTACTGGAACTTCATCGATTTGTAAAATAGTGGGATTAGCAGCGGACCCAGAAGACTGTACTTCCTTCTATATGTGTACAAGAAATATATGGGGGGCCTTAGTTCCACAAAAGTTCAAGTGTCCAGCTAATCTTTACTGGGACAATAAAAATCTTTACTGCAACTACCCAGATCAAGTTGAATGTAGTATTTAAAACTAATAAAGTTACTTTACAAATTAAGCTGAATAAAAATGCATTCAAAATATTTAAAAAAATATAATTGAACTTATGTTTTATACAAATAAACGTATTTTAGGTTGTATAATACTTTCAGTAGTAGAGATATAAAGATGAGAATTATTATTTTATCGTAATTGTTTTTTTTAACTCCGCTTATAATACCTAAACCGTCAATCCTTGGTTCCTGATGTAGCAAAACGTATTTCTAATTTATAAATTACTAACTGTTCCCCGCAACTTCGTACCTATGTATTGGCGGTAAACGTGTAAAAATACCCACTACCTCATATTATTCCGTAGGTGTCGTAAGAGGCGACAGAGGGAAGCTGAACCAGACGATGGGCTGTAACATCTTCCTGATAACGACCGAATAGTAAAACCTATGTTAGTTATATATAACTATGTATAACTATACTATTTATGATAGCACGTGTATGTGTGGCGACGAAATATAATTCCAATTATCTTTACACATTTCGTGCGTTGATATTAAATCACTAACCGATTGAAAATAAATATAAAATAGGAACTCAGAAAAATACAATATAATACGTATAAAGTAACTTCTGTCATTTCATTTTGTCCCTCTCTAAGAGCAAGCGCTAGTATCTAACAATTTGTCATTCGTTAATTGCTGAGCAAGCTTCGTAAGAGAAAATACAAGACAGCAAGTATTTGTTAGAGTTCCCGACCTGTGAAGTGCTACAATCCGGGTGACGGAAACACATGCTGTACTCCTTTCAAGATTCCTGACCTACTTGCTTTTATATTTATTAAAAGTGTCTTTCATTCAGTGTCATAGAATTCGGCCTCGAGATGTTTTAATAGAATAGCATTTATTAAAATGGTACAGAATACATAATATAAAATTTTAGGAATAAGTGAAATGCACTCCACTATCTTCCTTTATTTTATAGCATAGGATAACCCCAACTAGTTAGAGTAACAATCTGATGATACTCAATTTCAAACACAAGTTTGTTCCGGCACTTGACAACGTGTTCATGAGAAATATGGGCCCGGCCTATGTAAAAGCATCAGAAGTACTATTGTCTGCATAGCATTAATGTAACTCGTATGCAATATATCATTGATATACAAAAGAAATAGCGTAGATGAGGAAACACAACCTTGTGGAACACCAGTATTATTAAGCTTGCTGTTGCAGCATGATCTCTAGATCATGAGAGGTTTTGAGAGATTTCTTTTAAAAATGTAGTAGACTGTATCCTTGATGCTTTGAACTACACGAAAATGTGTGATTCTATTGCATAATTTCTCATGAAACCTATAAAAAGGGCTTTACTGTTCTTACCATAAATGAGTCTAAACTAGAAGCTACCCCGAGGGAAACTATACTGACGGTAACTTGACTGTAACTTGTTATTGGGGTTAGCTTGTAGGTCATTAGGTACCTCATTAGCTGGCTCTAATTGATTCCATTATTTTTGAGAACAAGGAGGTATGACATTACTTCCTTGTAGGAGACCTTATAGACTAGGTCTGTAGGTAGACGGGACTGATCGGTCAGTTTCTTTAAAGATTGGGTGCACCAAAGCTGTTTATCATAAGTTCAGGACCTAGGCCTAGGGAGTTGCATTAGTTTATATTTTTGAGCTTTTCATTTGATAAAACGTTTACATAGTTTCATTATGGATAAATAGCGATTTAGTGTCATATTTATGATTTTATATCAAGTCAATTATTATGACTCGTGTTTCTGTCTTTACCCATCACTTTTTTTATTTATTTACACTTTATTATGTACATTAATAAAAATTACAAAGGGCGTACTTAATGCCTTTTGGCAGTCTTTCCCAGTCCACCCGGGACGTGTGGAAAATTATGTGATATATAATAATATGATAATAATGTGTCGCGTCTCCTTAAGGAGACATTAATTTATATTTAGCTTTTATCTTATTTCTTTTAATAACTGCTTCTTAAATCCCGCTTTCGAATAAATTAAAATACTTCAAGTTTGACTTTAACTTAGTTCAGTATTAACATAATGATTATATTTTACGCAATAACTACATTTCAATAGATAAAAAATAATCCAACGTCACATCTAATATCCTCTATGTTAATAACTGTCAAAACGGCAAGCGTAAGTTTGTTACTATTCCATTACCTTCATCATTAGTGATGAGCTTACAAGTTAAAACATACTGTTCCATCAAACCATCTAATCCTTGTAGTTCATCAGATCAACACGTCATCTAATTAGGGAGTGATGCTCAAAATCGTGGTGGCTGCAAGGTTGCCACTCGAGACTTATTCTTCTTCAAAAATTTAAGCGTAAATTACAAAAAAGAATACATTTTTATAGAATAAAAGTTATCCCTACATACAAATAACATTGAAATTCAGCATTTAAACTACACAAGGTTTTATGTGCGATGGCTTGTTTTATTTTCGTTTGGTGGAAACGTTTCGGTAATCATTTAACGTGCGCAACGTCCAACCAGTGAAATAAAAGTCGAAAATGTCTCCACACGCTGCGTACATTTTTCGGCCTGTGTGCTAACATGTGATCCTTTTTATATGTATTGTACATATGAACATTTGCATAGAGATGTATAGGTTGAAAGCTTCATTCTGCATAAACAACAGTAGTATCAGAGTATTGATAGCGAAATTAAAAAGTTATGTGTTCGAATCCATTTTTAAAAAAGGATATATTACCAGAAACTCGACTATAGCTTTTAAAGAAAATTATAGAGAGAAACCCTGAACGTTTAAAATTAATGTACAAACAGTCGCGAATCGATTTTACAGTTCCATAACCCTCACAGAAATAAAAGGAATTTTGTGCCCATATAAAATCTGTAAGCTCTTTTAAAGTAATATGTTTTAGTGATTCACTATTATACTACAACTAACTAACACTATATATAATGATTTCTTAAATTTACGCGAACACTACACATTGAATAAAACTAAGTAAAATCAGTTAAATAAACGCGAATTAAAAATAAGTGAAATCAGTTAAATAAACGCGATAGAATCCGTAAATTTAGTTTTATTTAACACTATATATATATTACAACCAATCACAAGTCCACTGATGAACATAGGGCACACCCCTAGATTTCCACATCAAAACTCATGAGCTACCTGCGCTTATCAACTTCCAGCGTGTTTCACCACGTCGTTACTTCACTTAGTGGAAGGTCGCCTAGTAATGCGTTGACAGTACGAGGCTTTATCTCATTCATTCTTTACTTCCTGATCGGTCGTATTTTCTGCGAGCCCATTACCATTCAGCTTACCAATCCACCTTTCTTCTCCCCTATACGTTATAATAATTACACTGTAGTAATAGTTGTATCCATTAGCCATTCCACCCTATCAAATGTATACTGCTAAACGGAGGTCTCCCCCTTAAATAACCTCATAAGGGGATATTTACCATACTTGCCACGCTTGGCAGGCGGCTTGGCAATAGCAAAGGTTTTCATTTATACAATATAAAACTAAGTTCTCTCCTTACTCTGAGCTGATTGTACACATCAAAATTGCTGTAAAAAGGGTACAACCCATAGCTTGAGATACAAATACCTTACAAACTTTTTTGTACTTTCTCCAGCATTAGATCGTACTTCTTCTCATGAGGGGCTCAAATCATTGAATTACACTCCAAATGACTCCAAACTAGTGTGTTGTACAAAGCAATAATAGCTTGCACATTTGTGAAACTATTAACAGTTTGTAACGTAAAACCTGGAGTTCTAAAAGCCTTTTTACATGTATCAACAATATGATCCTTAAACGTTAAATCAGCAGAATATTTAATTAAATTTTTCTCCTAAATCTCCTACCTTACACTGGACATAGGTGTCCTGTCAATGTAATATGTATACTCTCTGGGCACATGTTTGCGCGTGAAAGATATTGTTAAGCATTTAGCGATATTTAATTGTAATTTGTTATCTTTGCTTCATTCAACAACTCTATTTATATCGTCTTGGAGACTGTCACAGTCTTCCAAATTACCTACGTTCATCTGACTAGTGTCTGCAAATAACACACTTTTTGATTTCTTCACAACATTGGGTTAGTCATTTATCATGATCAAAAACTCCAAAGGTCCTATATTCGACCTCTGACTCACACCACACCATGTAAAACATGGTTTTGTCTTATGACCCTCATATTCTACATACTGTTGCCTATTTGTCATGTAGCTAGCGAAAATACTCAATAAGTGTGGGATGAAACTAAATCAAATAGTACAAAGTTAGATAAAATTTAAAGGATTGTTTTGTGTATTGATATTTAGTAATACTATAGACATTGATAAACTTTTATTTAAAACTGACTTCTTAATTAAAGTTACAAATATCTTCACCTCAGTCCCAGTTAGTGACATCTGATGAGCGGGAGATTATTAGCACTCATTGAGGTATTTTTCGTGTTTAAAAAATTTTTAGTTATTTTTTGGTACTTAGCATTTCCCTGATGTTATCGACCACCGCCCATGAACAACAATGCCAGCGGCAGTGCAGGTGAATAGCAGGCATTTAAAAAAATCTCTTAGTCACTTTGTTCCAAAAATCACCGTTGGTGACCCATCCTACAAAGAAGTCATTCGGGGAACAAACGTTCAAGTAAATCGCTCAGGGTTGGACCGCCAGGCATCCAGCCGATGTAGGTGGTATCGTAAGTTACGCGATGATGGACTTTGAGGACTGGAAATATTACGAATAACTCCTCATAAAGTATTAATAAAGTTCAAAACCTCATAAAGTTAAAATACATTCCGAAATATTATTATTACTTTGAAAAAAAAACCTTTTAAAAGTTTCCAAAAGGTCATTCTCATTAAATATTGAAGAAGTTTAATATGTCTACAAAATTTTACAAGGAATTTATTATCTTTCATCATATTTTTTCCGAACATCCGTACTCGTAGAAATAAATCGACTAGAAAATACGAAGTGAAAGAATAATCTGTAAAATTTATTTCC